TCTATCTATCTATCTATCTATCTATCTATCTATCTATCTATCTATCTATCTATCTATCTATCTATCTATCTATCTATCTATCTATCTATCTATCTATCTATCTATTTATCTGTCTATCTGTCTATCTGTCTGTCTGTCTGTCTATCAGCTAAGTTTCTCTATCTATCTATCTATCTATCTATCTATCTATCTATCTATCTATCTATCTATCTATCTATCTATCTATCTATCTATCTATCTATCTATCTATCTATCACCCCAGTGACGGCTGGCGTACCTTTATTTCTGAGAGTGTGTTGATGCTTTTACTTTGTAATATTTCTATAATTTGATACAGTTTGTTATGATTTATCTGTCACTACTTGTGTACGCTAACAAATAAATACAAATGAATTATAATTATATTAATTCCTAAAATGATATTATACAGGTAGTTCCTAAAAATTTGGCTTGACGACCAAGTAAAAATGTGGGTCTCATGGCCAAACCAGTTGAGAACCCCTGATTTAAAGAATCAGCCTGTATCTTCTGCATCATAATACACAGAATAAAATGTGCCCAAGCAGGTTATTATGTGTAGTCCAGCATTGAAAGACATCACTCTCTTCTAAAAGATTATAATGGACTGGAATCAGTATCACAAATCTCCAACCTCATGTTTTATTTATTAAAATCCTCACACATGCCTTCTCTAAGTCATTTATAGTCCATTTTTGGTTCACAAAATCAGTCATCACTTTAATAACAAACACCCAAAAATTTCTCCAATGTAGCATGAGAGAAATCCAGGCCAAATGTGGGGCTAAAGGTATAATCTAATTGAATTGATCAAACTAACAGCTTCATGCAATGTGTGTCAAATTATCTCCATCTGAATCCATTAAAGTGCATCAAGAAAAAAAGAAAAGGCCCAGCGGGGGGGTAGAATTTAGACTGACTCACTCAGATCCTCCCCGCCTACAATAAAACACACACACACACACACACACGCACATGCAAGCTTTCCTCAATTTTCTACTACTCCCTGCAACAGCAGCACACACACATACTGTACAGCATAAGGCACTTACTGTGACCTACTCACACACATATTCCTCTTACACACACGCACACACATACGCACACACAGCAGAGCAGAGCTGAAGGGACAAGCATGAGTGGAATGCCAGTGTGTGTGCGCTGTGTGATGTAGTCTAACTCTGTGTTGTGTTTAATGAAGATGCTTAAGTAGTCAGAGCCGAAATGTGAAGCATGTCCTGCAGCGCTTTTTCACAAGAACGTGTGTTTGTTAACCCAAAATCACAGCTCTCTTAATACACAGAGTCAGAGATCGGTATTTGTTTTTTTATTTGTCTTTTTTTTGAGAAGATCAAACCCTAAAATCTGTTTTGGTGGTAAACCATGGACTCTGGGAAATATGCAAAAGCTGTCACTGGGGAAGTTCATCCTTAAAATGCATGGCTTTATGTCTTATTGCCACTAAAAGGTGAATCTATTTTTCTGTCTAGCTGTCCATCCATCCATCCATCCATCCATCCCTCCATCCATCCATGTGTCTGTCAAATAAACTAAGTCTATCTATATATCTATCTATCTGTCTGTCCGTCCGTCCGTCCGTCGATCTATCTATCGCCACCCACCCAGCCAACCACCCATCCACCCATCCATCCATCCATCCATCCATCCATCCATCCATCTATCTATCTGTCTGTCTAGCTGTCCATCCCTCCATCCATCCATCCATACATCCATCCATGTATCTGTCTAATAAGCTAAGTCTATCTATATATCTATCTATCTGTCTGTCCATCCGTCCGTCCGTCCATCCATCCATCCATCTATCTATCGCCACCCACCCAGCCACCCATCCATCCATCTATCTATCTATCTATCTATCTATCTATCTATCTATCTATCTATCTATCTATCTATCTATCTATCTATCTATCTATCTATCTATCTATCTATCTATCTATCTATCTATCTATCTATCTATCTATCTATCTATCTATCTATCTATCTATCTATCTACCCACCCATCTATCCATCCATCCATCTATTCACCCACCCATCTATCCATCCATCCATCCATCTATCCACCCACCCATCTATCTATCCATCCATCCATCTATTCACCCACCCATCTATCCATCCATCCATCCATCCATCTATCCACCCACCCATCTATCTATCCATCCATCCATCCACCCATCTATCCATCCATCTATCTATCCACCCATCTATCTATCCATCTATCTACCCATCCATCTATCCACCCACCCACATATCTTTCCATCCATCCATCCATCCACCCATCCATCCTTCCATCTGTCCACACACCCATCTATCCATCCATCCATCCACCCACCCATCTATCCATCCATCCATCTTTCCATCTGTCCACACAACCATCCATCCACCCACCCACCCACCCATCTATCCGTCCATCCATCCAATCCATCCATCCATCCATTCTCAGTCAAAAGGGAATTCAAATAACACTGCATTTCTAGAAATGTTAGTTAAGTAAGTTTCTATAATAAATTTAAGGCTTATTACTGAATGTCAAACTCTTTTGTGGCAGAAATTATATTTTAGCCCCTTTTGGTTTGCTACAGAACAAACCATTATTATACAATAACTTGCCTAATTACTCTAACCTGCCTGGTTGACCTAATCAACCTAGTACAGGCTTTAAATGTCACTTTAAGCTGTATAGAAGTGTCTTGAAAAACATCTAGTAAAATATTATTTACTGTCATCATGGAAAAGATAAAATAAATCAGTTTATAGAAATGAGTTATTAAAACTATTATGTTTAGAAATGTGTTGAAAAAATCTTCTCTCCGCTAATAATTCTGACTTCAACTGTATACACACACACACACACACACACACACACACACACACACACACACACACACACACACACACACACACACAATAGGATGCTAAATAATGTTATAATTAATATGTGATACAATATTTTTTTAAATATTATAACCACCATGTTTCAGATTATTTCTTATAAGTAAGAGCATGTATACCCTTTGCATAAAACATCTGACGATTTAACAATGTACACAAACAAAGATCAATATGAAATAAATAAACATCAACACCACTTTGCTCCATGAGTATAGTTTTACTAACCTAAAAACATTAATAACAAAAGCATTTTAAACAGAGTCCTGTTATTTCGTTGCCGTCTTGGCCAACTGTTTTGTTTTTTGAACATTTTATTAATTGTTTGGTCATATTTCAGTATCAATACTTTAAACATTGCATTGGAACAAAAAAGAAACAACTACATTGCATGGTCTGCTAATAACAACCACAAAGGTATCATTTATCGTAACCATTGCAATATTTACATCTGAGATAGTTTGTCAATTTCGATATACTGTTTTGTGCAGCCCTATTACATTTACACAAATAAATTGCTTAAACTACTTATTTAGAATGAGCTGAAACAACAAAAAATATTATGATTTTTTTTAAGACAACTCATTTGTTTTAAGTTCAATCCACTTAAATTTGTCAAAACCAAATAACTTTATGGATTTGTGTTTTGACAATGTAGATGAATTGTGAGGAACCCTGCAGTTTTGACGGGGTAGGGAGCTTTATTTTGAGTTCTGCAACAAACTGTGGAAGCCCTGTTGTCAGACACTTCTGAAAGCCAAATGTACACAAACAAACAATAATGAAATGACAAAATGCAATAAGAGTCTGTGGTGAGGGCGCAGCCAGCAATTCTGGGCCTTATGAAAGAATATTTGAGGTTGGGCCCCTTGCTAATGCTGTTAAAACCAATAAAGCAGATCTTTGGGTGGCCCCCGAAGAGAGTGGCCCCTTAGAATCATCCTTAGCAGCGCCCCTGGCCTGAGATACTTAATAATGCACTCAAAAATATGAGTTTTGCTGCTTGTAAACTACTTGTTTAAAATGAGCTGAAACAACAAAATTCTAGAGATTTGGGGGGATTTAATTGTTTATGTTTAATCTATTTAAATTTGTTACCTTAAATTAATGGATATGTGTTGGGACAACATGAATGAATTGTGTGAACCCCTGCATGATTTTACAGTGTGGGACGTTTTTGATTTGTTAGCTACAAACACAATAATACATGTTTTATTTTATTTTATTTTTTTACAAAAAAAAGTTAGTTTATCATGGTGGTATTCAGAGAAATGCCTTAGAGTACCATGAATTCCAGTGGCTAATTATCATGAACTCAAGAGGTCTGTTACCACTACATAGTTTAATACAATCACTTAAAAATTCTAAATTGTTGATTAGATTAAAATTTTTAATTTGGCAGAATAATTTTAAGCTTTCCAAACAAGAAAATATTGATCATTACATCAACTTAAAAATGTGGCTAATTTAAAGGTAAATATATCTGTCAATTAGTTGAAAACAATATTTAACTTGCAGCAACCCCCAAAAAATAGGTTAATAACTCAATTTTTTTTACACTAATGGGGCTGTTTTTTACACACTGATGTTTTTGTAATTTTCATACTGTTTATATGGGACAGTAGTACATGTTTTTGCTTTGTAAAACAATGACAATCTGTGGTTTAAAACAAATAAAACACAGAAAACGGGTTGAAAACAGTTGAAAACAAACAAAAACACTAAAATCTTTCAGCTACTTAATTTATTTGATGATCTAAACTTGAAAACCTACATGTAACTAAGGACATAACACTGGATTTGTTTTAAATTTTAATTAAAAAACTAATTTTCAGTACTCGACTTAAATGGAGTTTATGTTACGTAAAAATGCCTCTGATTGAAGAGGAAATTAAGGGTCATTTGGCTAACCTAATAAAATGTGTTGTCTGAACTTTGTTGGATGTTTTTGTAACTTGAATATATTAATGCAAAATGTTGCGTTATTTTTTGTTTGGTCTAAGCAACATTTTTTAGAGTGTCTGTACATGTACAATATGCCCCAATAAAAGCTCCAGTATGCTGCTCATGATTACCTTGTGCTGTTTCCACATGGCGGCCAGCGGCTTCACGTCGTGTTTCCCGTGTTTGCCCTCCTCCAGACACTGGTAGCACACGGGGGTCCTGCAGCTGGCGCAGTACATGCTGTAGTTCTCCGCCTCGTGATCCACGCAGGTCGGCTGTTTGCGCGCGGGGGCGCCGGGCGGCTGTGCGCTCCCCGCCTGCGCTTGGGTCGGCGGCAGCAGCCGGTGCTTGGCCAGCGGTCCGCGGGAGGGGTGACATCGCTGCTGGCACGGGGAGCAGTAAAACACGTCGCACTGCTCGCACATGACCGTGGCGTCCACCGGGTTGCGGTCGCACAGCTGGCACTTGACGGAGGCGGCGCGGCTCTGCTGGTAGCGGGACACGATCGCCTCGAGCAGCCGGTTGCGCTGGAGTCCCCGGAGCCCGCGCTCGTCCAGGGACACGCTGCGGTGGCACAGCGGGCAGGTGATGGAGCAGTGGCGGTGCATGAGCGCCGGCGGGAACACTCGCACGCCGTTGGGAGACTTGAGGCACGGCGTGTAAGACCCGTAGCCGCTGTCCGTCTCGCTATACATGCTCATCTTATCCATGTCCAGATAATCATAGTCCGAGGTGCCGGAGCTTCGATTCTGTGGAGGGGTCTCTCCCTCCGGGGTCTGCACGGTGATATTCCGGGCACACGCGAGGCAGACATTGTGAGAGCACGGTAAAATAATGGGCTCCTTGAAGAGAGAACCGCAAACCGGGCATTTGAGCTCTTCTTCCATCGCGTCCATAAACACACACGCTCGTACGCGCAGCCGTTGAATGAAATCAGAGCAGCACTACCAGACGCGGACAGCTCCCGTTTCGCGCTTCGCGCATGCGCAGTGACAGAACGCTTGTGGGCGTTGTAGTCCCCACGCTGATCCACGTCGCGTGAGGTGAGCGCGTAAAAACTACAACTCCCTTAATCCCCCTAATTAAATGCGGCGAGAAGAATTTGTATTTTCGTCCCGTATTCCAGGGTCACAGGTTCGGGGGGGCTCATTTGCAATTAAAAGAAGCCCGTGTGTAAACAACCCCTGAAAAGGAGGGCAAGCGTTGAAATTGTGATGGCATCCGAGAGAGAGCTGACCAGCAGCCTGTTTCTGTGAGTGGCCGTGAATAATTAGGGCAAAGAATTTATCCCAGCAAGAATCGAGCTGCTTTCAGCTGATCCAGCCCACTGAGTCTAATTACAGCACAGAATTAATTAACACTTCATCACTTTCACTATGCGCAGACAGACTTATTTCATACTCTACTACAGATTCTATCTTCCCGTCTTAACACATTTTTTTTAATCTTAACAAACAAAACACCATGTTCTTTAATTTTAAAGTCTGTTTTACCAGGATTGCTATATATATATATATATATATATATATATATATATATATATAT